GGGGAAAGAATTACCCCCCCGCACCCTGCTGGTCGCCCTCCTTCCAATGCACCCCAGGATACTCTTGTCCCTCCTGTCTCAAGGGCACGCTGTGGCTCATGGTCAACTTATCATCTACCAACACTCCCAGTTCCTTCTCAGCTGAACTGCTCTCTAGTAAGTCAGCCCCAGCCTGTGCTGGTACTTGGGGTTCTTCCTCACCAGGTGCAGGACCCTGCACTTGCCCTTGTTGAACTTCATTAGGTTTCTCTCTGCCCAGTTCTCTCCGCCGAAATGGCAGCACAGATTCAGGTGTATCAGCCACTCCCCTAGCTTTGTGTCATTAGCAGACTTGCTGAGGGTGCACTCCAGCCCTTCATCCAGGTCACTGATATGTAAGTTGAATAAGACCGGACCCAGTATTGCTCCCGGGGGAACACCGCTGACTACAGATTTCCAACTGGATTTTACTCCACTGATCATGCTGATCACGACCCTCTGAACTCTGCCATTCAGCCAGTTCTCAATTGACCTCACTGCCCATTCATCTAAACCACATTTCCTAAGCTTACCTGTGAGAATGTTATGGGATACAGTGTTAAAAGCCTTGATGAATTCAAGGTAGATAATATCCACTGCTCTCCCCTCATCAACTCATCTTGCCATGTCATCACAGAAGGTTATTAGATTGGTTAGGCAAGATTTACCCTTGGTGAATCCATGCTGACTACTCCTGATGACCACCTTCTACATGCTTGGTGGTGAGTCCAGAATGACCTGTTCCATCACCTTTGCAGGGATGGAGGTGAGGCTGACTGGCCAGTAGTTTCCCAGCTCCTCCTTCTTGCCCTTTTTGTAGAGGGGAGTGACATTGGCCTTGCTCCAATCATTGGGCACCTCTCCCATTCTTGATGATTTTTCAAAGGTGATGGGTTCAGCTCCCTCAGCACCCATGGGTGCATCCCATTATGGCCCATGGGTTTATAGGTGTTAAGTCTGTCTAACCTATCCCTAACCCAACTCTCTATGATCGGGGGGAAGTCTTCCTTTTTCTGGCAGCCTTCTGAAAGCTGTTCAGCCTGGAGAAGAGAAGCTGCATGGAGACCTCAGAGCAGCTTCCAGTATCTGAAGGAGGCCTACAAGAATGCTGGAAAGGGACTCTTCATCAGGGACTGTAGTGATAGGACAAGGCATGATGTGTTTAAACTGAAACAGAGGAAGTTCAGGTTA